TTTTTTTTTTTTGTGCAAGAGGCATCCATACATAACATTACATGTACTCGTTGTACTCTTTGCTTAGGAACACAGCACATTGACTGTGTTGTAGGCCCTACCAGTATGGCATTATAACAGTCACTTGTAACTGTCAATTTTCACTTTCAACAAACATTTAAAAAGCCTTCAGGAACCTTTGGGCAGCTTTCTTTATCCCTTAAAACTATTTTTTCAGCTCCAATTTCTAATGTGTAATATCTTAATCAAAGTGCTGGCTGTAGCTTTACCCTGAGCTTGTACTTTATTTTAATATGCTAAAAATAAAAAGTCTTCTCTGGGAGCAAACACCACAAAGTGATTGCAAATACCTTTACTTACAAAAAGACTATTTTTTTGCCCCTCTCTGATATATTTTTATTTTGTTATAGGGGCCACTGTGCTTCCCAGAGTGGGAGGTTATAGTTCTGGTGTCGACCAGCAGGTGTCTCCCAGCAGCCAGCACTTTCCAGTAATCAGTCTCCACCCGATGCTGGCTGTTGGGAGGATATTTACTGTAGGTCTGCCTGTAAATTACCCCTTCACTCTAGTGTTTTGCTCTGCTGCCAGAGGCTGCATACCATTTATTCTGATTCTGATGGCAAAAATTGCTCCAGCCATGCATCCTGTGCCCTACTGCCTCTTTTCTGCTCCTCTTGTTCCTAATCCCAGTCCTGGTTCCCCCTTCTCATCTGTTTCCTGCATCTCCAGTTTACCTGGTTGATCTGTGTTCCTCATTTTGTGCATATACTATATATAGACCATTTGTTAGTTAGGGTTCCTGTTATTCTGTTAGTTTGGTAGTTAGATTTTTTGTCATTGGGATATGGTTAACTTATAGAATTATGTTTTCTGTTTGCTGGCATTTGTATGGGTTATGTTTCACTGTAAATAAATCTCACTTAAAGCATACACAGTCTGGTCCCAGTTCCCTGTAGCTTTTCATATTTGGCCAGCTCTGATGCTGATTCCTGAGACCTTGCCACCATGGTAAAGCCCTGCTAAACACCATCCTCCTGTACAATGAAAGTGCCCTTACTGGCCACTGAGGCGTTCTTATTCATTATGGTGGAAGTTGTGAGGACTTAGCAAATAAGTAAAAGAGAGCTAGGCCCTAATACTAAAACGTAAAGGTAATAGCAGCCACCTTGTGGCTTTAAGCAGGCTTGTACACTTTCTAAAGCCTAATATAAAAATGCCAAAACATTTACAAAATGTGTTCATGGAAATAATAGTGACTGCAGCTTCATGGTTGAATTAATTAAAAAGTAAAATTGTACTTTTCCTTCTTTGACTTTTTATCTTTGTTTGACATTTGTATTCACTACACTGCAATCAGGATTTTTCTTTTAATTTGTACAGTATACAAGGCAGGTAACATTTGCATAGGCTCAACACACTTAGCAAGACTTTTATAAATGGTGAACAAATCTATTTGATTCATGATCATGCAACTGTCCTATCCTGTCATGAGTGAAGTCAACAAGTCTTTAATTTGCATAAATATTGAAAAAGAGTCAAACTTAGCATTTGGGAAGAATCACTGAAATACTTACCACTTGATAACTGCTAAAAGAATCTGCCTTTGGCCAACTTTAATTGTATAATACGCACAGGGAGAAGCTGATCTTTCTGATACAATTTCTGAAAGTAAATTACCAGGTAGGAAAAGAATACCATATACAGTGATTCAGAGAAAAAGTGTATCAAGTTAATTTTGCCAATTTTTTCCAACTTTACTACAACATAAATGTATTCTTACAAGGGTATCGCACCTTCTGTTTGCAAGTTTTGCATTTAACTTTAAAGGCTAGATCAGGGGTGCTCAAGCCGTGCCCCCCCCCCCCCCCCCCAGCTGTTAGCTGTTGCAGAACTACATATCCAATGAGGCCTTGCAAGGCCAACAGGTAAAAGCATGATTTCCAAAGACAGAGGCAGGATGGGACTTGTAGTTTTGCTGGAGGGCCACATGTTGTGCACCCATGGGCTAGATATTCAGGGAGCCTACTCCTTTTGAGTGTGTTACTTTATTTTTGTCAGCTGTCAGGTCTAATGAATTCTGGCTTTTGTACATTTTTGAATAAATACTTAATGCAGTGCTTCCAGTATACAAAGTAAAACATTTATATTTATAGTTGAACTATGGGAAAAAAAAAAAGTGAACCATTGCCTAGGGCATGATGAATAAGGAATTTTCACACATTATCCTTGCTCCCTTGGATGCTGCTGTTATCCACTGTCTAAGTTGTGTGCAGATTCTCAGTGACCTCAAATACAATGCAGGACTGCTAGTCGTGCATTGTACAGGATGACATCAAAGATCTGCAAATGGTTGGGCAGAAGTCTTTGGAGGTCCAGGCTTACAGCATGGAGGAAGCTAGTGGGAGCAAGAAATAAAGGGAGTGTCACCTCATTCATCATTCCCTAAGCAAAGTGAACAGTTAACCCTTGCAGTGGGACAGTGGGACCCAATTTGGTACAATTGTTTCTCAGGAGTTCAGCTTTAAAAAGTGAAGTGAAGGGGGGATTTTTTTTACCTTTAAAGTTCATTAAGAGACAAAGGAATGAGTTATTCAGAGACAATTTGGTTATATTGCTACCTTCAGGAGGATTTGGACACTGACAAAGATCAATTTCCTGGTATAACCCCTCCCACATCCATCATGCTCCAGTTCTGTAGAAACGCACTATTAGATCACAAATTACATCCAGGCAGTGAATGACCAAATTAAGTTCTTTACGGGACAGAGCTTCCAGCCCAGACACATGCCCTGCTGAGGTGATGTTCTAATTTTAGTGTTATGCATGTTGGCTCAACAGGAATTAAATTGGTATCTTTAAGCATGTGAGCTATTGGATTTGAGAGATTCTGTATCTGACAGAGCCTCAATGGCAGAAGCTTGCCACAGTTACAGCTAAGTCTGACATATATACTGGAGAAGAAGGTGTAGAAGTATGTTTACAGCCTATGTGTTTCAGGTCAGAAAATGTATTTGCAATTTTGCCCATTAAATCAATTGTAACTGGAGGGAACTCCACCCTGGATAAGGCAGAAGGAGTGGGCTACACATTATGCAACTAAAGAAAACTCAAATAATTGTATTGACTCAACCTGAAGACTATGCTCCAGGCTTTCACTGTCAGGTCCCTGAGGAGGGACACAGCAGCATACCCCAGGATTATTAGTAGATCATGAGCTGGAAAAGCATTGCTCTTCTTGCTCTTTGTTTCTGACATGCTTAACTGTTTAAAAGAGGCAATTAAACTGAAAACACCAGGTAAAACCATAGGTATCACAAACCAGCTACTGAAAGTAGGTGAGGTTCAACAACTTAGAGTGACAAGGTCACTGTAAGTAGCAGCAAGGACCAACTGAGGTAGAACTGTGTAAATAGAAGCAATCAGAGAAAGAAGCTTCCTAATGCTGAAAAAGAAAGGAACAGAATGTGAAGTATGCATGCTAGTGTCACAGCACTTAATTGTCCAGCCTGTTAAGCTTTTCTGTGGAGCCAGTAGAAAAAGGAGTGTAATAAAGATACTTAATGGTACCTATAGACACCGTAGCTTCTAATGTTCAGCCCATATAGCATACAAAAGTCTTAAAAGATTGGATCACACATAAATTTTTCATGGATTTGGATCTGAAAAGTGCTCTGCAGCTATCTAACACACTACATAGAGGTATGAGAAGCTCCACGTGTAAAGCCCTATGCTTGAAGATTACATTTTAGACAGGCTGACAATAAGCAGATTTAGGTAGTTGCATAAAGAGAACACCTCAACAGCTTGTAGAGGAAGACTTGTTTGAAGAAAAAATATTTGAAAATAAGAAAATGACTAGCAAAATGGCAACACTTTTCTCAATTGAGAAAATACATTCATCCTCCTAGGACACTAGAAAAAACTGAAGCATGATAGGAGTGGGAGGGGTTATACCTGGCTAGTTAATGGCTTTTTTGTTTGCCAGTGCTGAATTCCTCTTGAAGGCTGCAGTCCAACCAAGTGTTTTTCAGTTAAGGCACCCTTTAAAATTATGGACAATCTCAAGGCACCCTCTAAAATCATGGACAGTCTTGGGACACCTCATTCTAAAATGTAAAAAACTATTCTAATAATTTTACATAATGCATCAGCATCTACTTATGTAGGACACCCAACGTTAGAGGTGATTTATTCTTCCAAATTAAATACACTTTTGCACGCTGGTACTGACTAGTATTTCAATGTTTCTCTTCTCCCTACGTTTTTCTCCACCACTCAGCTAATATGACCCCAGAGCTGGTAGATAGGATCAGGGGAGGGACAAGCAAGGATGCTGTGCAAACGACCAATATCCTCCTTATCGACTGGTGATGTCATTGGTTGTTCAGATGCCAGCGTCTAGAAGGTCGTAATGGTGCACAATGAAAGCCTGTGGCTTTGTGTAACTAAAAGGCAGACTTGATCCACCTTTGGTTTGTATACAACTTTTGGGCAATTTTAGTCATTTTGCCAAAACACCCCTGAAGAAACCTCAAAGTACCCCTAGGCACCCTGGTAGAAAAAAGGCTGGTCTAACCCAATTGTTTCTGAATAACTGATTCACATGAAAGAAAAACCTTTAAGCAATATAAAGGATTTTATCAAATGATCCAAATGTATCCCTCTTTACTCATATAAATTAATTAAATTGGCTATTAAAATGTAATCCAGACAGATCTGTATTGAGTCAAACGATGCAGTAGTATGGCTAACCTTTTACAACTGGCTACAATCAATGCATGTATGTCTAACAATCCAGTCCACAAAGCTTCCTCTTCATCTTCCTCAGTGTTATTCAGTTACTTCATTATTCTAATTAGATAGTAAATTAATGTCAACAGACCCACTTGAAGCAAAAAGATGTAAGAGACAAGAAAAGGAAACAAATGTTACTGCAATAGCATGATAATTATACACTACGGGAGTTATTTATGTTCATGTTCTTACATTCTAACATATAGCTCCATCAACCAGCACAGACATCGGTGGGTCCAGCAACATCACAGACCAACCTTTTGCACCTGGCTCACAATCAGGCATCAATGTCTCAAAGTCCAGTGCGTCAAGCTTCCTCTTCTTCTTCTTCATCTTCCTCTTCTTCAGCTTTGAGTGTTGGTCAGTTAGTCAGCAGTAAGTATAGCTATTCTATTTACCATTTTCTCTGTCTTGATGCCTTTGCATGTACTCTTTGCTTGTTTCCTGAAGTGCTCTTTGTCCACAATTCTTAATCTTGACTCTTGAATAATCATATTAAACATAATAATTTTAGATGTGCTATAATGTACTACCACATTGCAATGATGGCAACCATTTACGGCCACATAGAGTAAAAGAATAAAAACAAATGATAGATTGTCTGTGACCATGATATTGGGTGCATCTGCAGGATTCTATTTGAATTTCTAGAATATCAAAAACATCTATTCTAGAATGTGTTAGATAGTGAAATAAGAAAGTGGGAAACATTTTCTTGAAAATATAGCATGGCTTTAGAAATAATGCCTTCAGGACAATAGATCTACTGGACTTTCCAGTTGCAACTATATGACTAAACACCATGTACTCACCAGTTAGTAGTAATCAAATTTAAACCAGAAAAAATACATAGTTTCCAAATGTATGTAGAGCTTCACATTTAGTTGTGCAAATATTTATCAAAACAATATTTTGATAAAAATACACTAAAATCATTATTAGTGCTCAAAAACACAATATAATTTTTAAAAATTCCTACTAAATTTCTACTAAAATTTAAAAAGCTAAAGCTGTATTGAGCTAGTAAATAGCAAATAACTGTACATTTTAAATTTGCATCTTTATGCAAAATTGTGAAAATTGAAGGTGCGCAAAACTGTAAATGAGCAACCTGGAGGTTGGCTTTACACCTATGCGTTGTGACAACATCCAGTCACAGTGCCATGTGTGAGCTGTAATGGTGTGTATTGCAATAAAATGATGCAGGCATACATTTTATTGCAATGCAGCAAGTTAAAATGCGCAGAAATCCATCTCAACACTCTGTTGCACATAAAGCTGTATGAATGCAAATTTATAAATGTAAAAAAAAAAAAAAATAATCAAACACTGAGATGTATTGTGACAATGCATTGCAGTGCTTTTGCACACCACATTCCAGCACAATACCAGAGAGTACTGCGCAATGTAATGCGTGCTAACTGATATAAATGGGTCCTTAGTGCGTTGGTGCACCAACGCATGTAAAGTCCATTGACACTATGGCTGTAGTGCACATGTGCATGGTATGTGTGAGTGTAATTTATGTGTGTGCACAGGAGGGCTTTTTCATTAAATAAAGGTGGTTACCGGAGTGCAGATGTCTTAAATTTTGCTTCTTCATACTGTCAGTTACAAACTTAGGTGTCCTTTTATGAAACAGAGATCAGCGGCGATCCTGAGGATCGTTGCTGATCTCCGATCATTTGTGGTTTAGGAAACAGAGATGATCAGTGAAGAACATGTTCTCCGATGATCATCTCAGCACACAGATGGCCAGTATATGAAGGAGCAATGTCAGCCCTTCACTGACGATATGTGTTCTCCCTCCAGATTCTCCAGCCCAAGCTGGAGAATCGGAGGAACAGCAAACTAAGCAGCGATAATTTATCTCTGCTTAGTAAACGGTGTTTGACTGATCTCTTACTGTAATCTTGCCAGATTATAATAAAATCAGCGTTTTCCAGTTCTAGAGCTAATACATGCCGACGAGAGAACTGATCTACACCGCTTCATAAAATGCATTCACAGGAGAACTGTGTTCTCCGAGAATGCCGGAGAACTGAGCAGCGGTCATTTACCACTGCTTGATAAAAGGACACCTTAGCTGGCCCCCCAGTGAATGTGAGTGACAATGTTGTGTGGACTGACTCAGAGTGGTGTGAATTTCTTTGCTTTAGGTTCATGGTCCCTGAAGAGACCATACAGCGGAAAGGGGAATGCAGATGTTGTATGCCTTACATCAGTGCCTTACAGTATCAGAAAAAGGATTAAAGCAATGTATAATTAACAAAGGAAAATGCTAGAGGGTGTATATATTGATAACTCTTTTCTTTTTCACAAGCTATTCCTATGGAACATATCTCACTGATGAGTGCTGATGACATGTCATTTGCAAACTGCTGAAACAAATATTTAGAGGGGTTGGATGCAATTTGGAAGTTTCATAATGTTTTCTTGGGTTGCTTGAACACGATGGTAAAAGGATACTACATTGACTAATGTCATTGTATGTTTAATGCGGATTCCGCTTGTTTGACTCCTCCCCTCCTCCATTGGTTTTGCAGTCTTCTGGGACCTGTAAAAGTTCTCAAAAGACTGTGGAAGGAAGAAGGGGGCCAAACTTCCATCTCACTTTGCCGTGGCGAACTGAGCAGGAAGTGGGAGAGGGTATCTGTCAAAACCAGACACCCGCTCCCCCCCCTCCCCTCCTCCATTTGGCACCTTTTGGGATGGGAGGGGGGAGCGGGTACCTGGTTTTGACAGATACCCTCTCCCACTTCCTGCTCAGTTCACCACGGCAAAGTGAGATGGAAGTTTGGCCCCCTTCTTCCTCCCTCAGCCTTTTGAGAACTTTTACAGGTCCCAGAAGACTGCCAAACTAATCAGAATGCTCAGAGCGACTCGTGCATGCGCAGTGGGCTATATAGCCACAAGCTGTCACAGCCTGATGTCCACAGTTGTGATGCTGGTGCAGAGGAGAGAAGAAGCAGAGAAGGGATGGCATGGGTGAACACATCACTAGACCCTGGTATAGGTGAATGTGTGTTTATTAAAAGTCAGCAGCTACAGTTTTTGTAGCTGCTGACTTTCAATAAACACAAAACTGACTGGAACTTCGCTTTAAGTATTACCTTTGGATACACTTACAAAGAGAAATATGGCATTGTTTGATGCTTCTTTACTGTAATGTGGAAAGACCTTTCAAATTTTGGAGATAATTAAATTGTTGTTTCAAATATGAATTGTAAATATTTGTTTGTAGTATGACATTTGTGATTCTTGCCTGAGCAAAGTCATTTTAATGAAAACTTTCAGTTTTTCAGTGTTCTTTTGCGTTAGCATTTAGCGGCGTTTTGCTGCTTTTTTTGCGTTTGTGTTTTTTAGCGGGTTTTTTTTTCACACACCCCCACCAATTTTTTGCTAAAATAAAACCTTCCATAAACACCAGTTTGCCACGTTTTACTACATTTTGCACACATTTTTCAACATTAGAGCGTTTTTACAGCTAAAAAACTCCTCTAGAAGCCCACTAGTCCTGGGTTTTTTTTTCAAGCCAGAAAACGTCCCTGCCAAAAAACGCTGATTTCAGTCTATACAGTCATGGCCGAAATTGTTGGCACCCTTGATATTTCTCCTGGAAATCATGTATTTCTCACGAAACGTATTGCATTAACACATGTTTTGCTATACACATGTTTATTCCCTTTGTGTGTATTGGGACAAAACAAAAAAAGGGAGAAAGAAAGCAAATTCGACATAATGTCACACAAACCTCCAAAAATGGGCTGGACAAAAGTATTGGCACCCTTTCACAACTGCGGATAAATAAGAATGTTACAAGCATGTGATGCTTCCTGTAAACTCACCTGGGGCAAGTAACAGGTGTGGGCAATATAGAAATCACACCTGAAAGCAGATAAAAAGGAGAGACGTTCACTTAACCTTTGCATTGTGTGTCTGTCTGTGCCACACTAAGCATGGACAACAGAAAGAGGAGACGAGAACTGTCTGAGGACCTGAGAACCAAAATTGTGGCAAAATATCAACAATCTCAAGGTTACAAGTCCATCTCCAGAGAACTAGATTTGCCTTTGTCCACAGTGCGCAACATTATCAAGAAGTTTGCAACCCATGGCACTGTAGCTAATCTCCCTGGTCGTGGACGGATGAGGAAAATTGATGAAAGATTGCAACGCAGAATAGTCCGGATGGTGGATAAGCAGCCCCAAACATGTTCCAAAGACATTCAAGCTGTCCTGCAGGCTCATGGGAGAGCATCAGTGTCAGCGCGAACTATCCGTCGACATTTAAATGAAATGAAACGCTATGGCAGGAGACCCAGGAGGACCCCACTGCTGACACAGAGACATAAAAAAGCAAGACTACAGTTTGCCAAAATGTACTTGAGTAAGCCAAAAGCCTTCTGGGAAAACGTCTTGTGGACAGATGAGACCAAGATAGAGCTTTTCGGTAAAGCACATCATTTACTGTTTACCGAAAACGGAATGAGGCCTACAAAGAACAAAACACAGTACCTACGGTAAAATATGGTGGAGGTTCAATGATGTTTTGGGAGTTGTTTTGCTGCCTCTGGCACTGGGTGCCTTGACTGTGTGCAAGGCATCATGAAATCTGAGGATTACCAAAGGATTTTGGGTCGCACTGTAGGGCCCAGTGTCAGAAAGCTGGGTTTGCGTCCAAGATCCTGGGTCTTCCAGCAGGACAATGACCCCAAACATACGTCAAAAAGCACTCAGAAATGGATGGCAAAGAAGCGCTGGAGAGTTCTGAAGTGGCCAGCAATGAGCCCAGATCTAAATCCCATTGAACACCTGTGGAGAGATCTTAAAATTGCTGTTGGGAAAAGGTGTCCTTCCAATAAGAGAGACCTGGAGCTGTTTGCAAAGGAAGAGTGGTCCAAAATTCCGGGTGAGAGGTGTCAGAAGCTTATTGATGGTTATAGGAAGCGACTGATTTCAGTTATGTTTTCCAAAGGGTGTGCAACCAAATATTAAGTTAAGGGTGCCAATACTTTTGTCCAGCCCATTTTTGGGGTTTTGTGTGACATTATGTCATATTTGCTTTTCTGCCTCTGTTTTATATTTGTTCCAATACATACAAAGGGAATAAACATGTGTATAGCAAAAACATGTGTTAATGCAATACCTTTTTTGTGTGAAATACTTGATTTTCAGGAAAAATATCAAGGGTGCCAACAATTTCGGCCATGACTGTATGTGCATGGACAGATAGGATAACATGCTTTTTACTGGCTGTAGAAAAAATGCCAAAAACAGCCGCTGTAAAAACATCCAGTGTGCATGAGGACTTATTGTCAAAGCTTAAAGAGGGAGTGTGGGGAGAGCCCTTTCAGTGTAGTATTATTGAGCATT